AGGGGAAGAGAAGAGTGGACACCCTATTCCCTATGGCAGTGGTTCTCCTCTGGGACCCCCAGATGTTTCACAATTTTGTTGTAGCTCTGAACTATTTCACCTAACTCACTTATTCAAGGGGTTGATGATTAGTTGACAAGTTGAATCAGGTGTGCTAGCTCTGGACTAGATCAAATACATGGAACAGCTGGGGGTCCCTGAGGAGATGTTTGAGAAACACTGTCCTAAGGGCTATGGTAAAGAATAGTGCATCAGTGCCATTTGGGATGCTATAAGAATGGCTCCTCGTGAGGTCCCTGAGACAGACACCAGTCTGGGCAGACTGTGTTTTCTCCATTCTTCATCACTGGGTATTTATATCCCACATGTTCTGTGTGCTGTGGCAGGGTGTGCGTGTCTGTCTGTCTGTCATATCCCTCAGTGCAGTGGGCCTCTTTCCTCTCTTTCAATGTCCTCTCTTTCACTGTCTCCTCTTTCACTGTGTCCTCTTTCACTGTCTCCTCTCTTTCACTGTCTCCTCTCTTTCACTGTCTCCTCTCTTTTACTGTCTCCTCTCTTTCACTGTCTCCTCTCTTTTTACTTTCTCCTCTTTCACTGTCTCTACCCTTTCACTACCTCCTCTCTTTCACTGTCTCCTCTATCACTGTCTCCTCTTTCACTGTCTCTACCCTTTCACTACCTCCTCTCTTTCTCGGTCTCCCGAGATTTACTGTGTTAGTTTGAATGGCTTCCTTATTTGATATAATTAAGGCTCTAGATTGCATGAAATGGCTAATACAGTTGAAATCGGAAGTTTACATACACTTAGGTTGGAGTCATTAAAACTCGTTTTTCAACCACTCCACAAATTTCTTGTTAACAACCTATAGTTTTGGCAAGTCGGTTAGGACATCTACTTTGTGCATGACACAAGTAATTTTTCCAACAATTCTTTACAGACAGATTATTTCACTTATAATTCACTGTATCACAATTCCAGTGGGTCAGAAGTTTACATACACTAAATTGACTGTGCCTATAAACAGCTTGGAAAATTCCAGAAAATGATGTCATGGCTTTAGAAGCTTCTGATAGGCTAATTGACATCATTTGAGTCAATTGGAGGTGTACCTGTGGATGTATTTCAAGTCCTACCTTCAAACTCAGTGCCTCTTTGCTTGACATCATGGGAAAATCAAAAGAAATCAGCCAAGACCTCAGAAAAAATATTGTTGACCTCCGCAAGTCTGGTTCATCCTTGTGAGCAATTTCCAAATGCCTGAAGGTACCACGTTAATCTGTACAAACAATAGTACGCAAGTATAAACACCATGGGACCACGCAGCCATCATACCGCTCAGGAAGGAGACGCGTTCTGTCTCCTAGAGATGAACGTACATTGGTGCGAAAAGAGCAAATCAATCCCAGAACAACAGCAAAGGACCTTGTGAAGATGCTGGAGGAAACAGGTACAAAAGTATCTATGTCCACAGTAAAACGAGTCCTATATCGACATAACCTGAAAGGCTGCTCAGCAAGGAAGAAGCCACTGCTCCAAAACCGCCATAAAAAAGCCAGACTACGGTTTGCAACTGCACATGGGGACAAAGATCGTACTTTTTGGAGAAATGTCCTCTGGTCTGATGAAACAAAAATAGAACTGTTTGGCCATAATGACCATCGTTATGTTTGGAGGAAAAAGGGGAAGGCTTGCAAGCCGAAGAGCACCATCCCAACCGTGAAGCACAGGGGTGGCAGCATCATGCTGTGGGGGTGCTTTGCTGCAGGAGGGACTGGTGCACTTCACAAAATAGATGGCATCATGAGGAAGGAAAATGATGTGGATATATTGAAGCAACATCTCAAGACATCAGTCAGGAAGTTAAAGCTTGGTCGCAAATGGGTCTTCCAAATGGACAATGACCCCAAGCATACTTCCAAAGTTGTGGCAAAACTGCTTAAGGACTACAAAGTCAAGGTATTGGAGTGGCCATCACAAAGCCCTGACCTCAATCCTATAGAAAATGTGTGGGCAGAACTGAAAAAGCGTGTGTGAGCAAGGAGGCCTACAAACCTGACTCAGTTACACGAGCTCTGTCAGGAGGAATGGGCCAAAATTCACCCAACTTATAGTGGGTAGCTTGTGGAAGGCTACCCGAAACGTTTGACCAAAGTTAAACAATTTAAAGGCAATGCTGCCAAATACTAATTGAGTGTATGTAAACTTCTGACCCACTGGGAATGTGATGAAAGAAATACAAGTTGAAATAAATCATTCTCTCTACTGTTATTCTGACATTTCACATTCTTAAAATAAAGTGGTGATCCTAAATGACCTAAGACAGGGAATTTGTACTAGGATTAAATGCAAGGAATTGTGAAAAACTGAGTTTAAATGTATTTGGCTAAGGTGTATGTAAACTTCCGACTTCAACTGTACATTCCACATTTCCCAACAACCCCCTCTAAAGTCAATAATAACAATAGTAATGGTAATCATGATATAATGATTGTTATCTTTATTACATTATTTATATCATTAAATGATATGTAGACAAAAAGTATTACAAGTAAACCAACATTTGTTCATGTCCTGTCACACACACATGAAAGGATACTTCAGACAGGTCCCAATGTGATTGGTGGGTAGAGAATCCACAAAAGGTGGAGAACCTCTGGTATAGAACACAAACCAAACACTGATACAAACCATACAGTCATACACAGAATATCAACTCACTAGTTCCTATTCCATTTGATCAACCCTACTGCAGTTATCACCTTTTATCAATACTACTGCAGTCATCACCTTTTATCCATCCTACTGCAGTCATCACCTTTTGGACTACAAACTGTAGATAGGCCTATTCTCTTGTTTTGGAGTCTGGAACAGAGTGGGTGTGTTTTCTCCTCTCCTCTTTGCAGTGTGTTATGGGATGCGTGCCACCCACTTCAGGTGGACTATAGTGTTTCCTGTTTCTGTTTCCCGCCTGTCTCAGCAGTCTCACATTACAACTAACCACTGCCAACACACAGACCCAGAGACATACATTTAGAATATAGCTCATATACCCTTCCACACTACTGACCTGAGCCAAGATGAACACAGCTGTACTGGGCTGGCCTGGTTATACGTTTAACATAGTTTCTAGAACCGTGATGGACAGGACCATGTGGAAGGTAAATATCAGAGCCAGCCCATTGGAGTTCGGTTAGGCCCAATAGTGTTAAAAGTGTAATACTGTATACTGTACTACTCTGAGCTTGGTATGGTGGAACACTCAGGGTTAATGTCAAATGATAACCTACTACATCTCATAATAAAGTGCACTGCATTTGTCCAGATCAAATAGCAACATGATGTAGAGCACCGTTCGGTTACCGTATCAAGCAGTTGCCAAATATGTAGGTATCATGACGTACTAGTCAGTAGTACCACATTATTTCTTATTAATACGAGCTGAAATAGGATAAAATAACTAGTTTGTATTTCCTAACATGATCATGTGCTTTCCCCTCTACAGCACCACAGCCGATCTGCCATGACCAAAGATGGTGGATAAATAAAGATAGTCCACTCAGGCCGTTTACCATTGAATAAAATGGTCAGTTCCGGTCTACTTAAGGGGGTGGCTCTCCCATTGACACCAATGCGATAGCAGCTGGGTCTGGTTTACTTAGTTCATTGACTTCCATTGAAAAAATAAATTAGGGAGTGGGATGTCTCACTTCCTCTTCCGTCTCTGCAATCACATGTCACTGTGATCAGTGTGTGTCTACTGCCTTGTAGTGTTAACTTGATGTCAGTGCAATAAGGCTGTGGTTCGCATGTAGTTCATGCCAACAACCCACCACAGTGGATGCCACAATCAATATGTGACATATGGACGGTCATATAAAGAGATATGAAAGGACAGTAAGAACAAATTCCAGTGAAAGTGAACAAACAATAGGCTGAGGGAAGTGGATGATCCCTCAGCACAGGGAAGACAGGCCTTTTATTGGTCATTATTACAGTTTCTTAAACTGTTGTTTTTTTAAATCAGAAACTCTAAATTACTTTTCTGTTACAATGTAAAACGATGTTGATGAATAAATACGTGTACACGTTGCTATGTCTTTAAATGTATTTTCTAAAATCTTTCACATCCAGTCTGAGGAGGTACAGGGTAAGGGCAATCGCTTGCATCTATATCACAGGTGGCTGGTGGCACATTAATTGGGGAGGACCGGCTCATAGTAATGGCTGGAACGGAATTCATGGAATGGTCTCAAACACATCGAAGACCTGGTTTCCATGTTGATACCATTCCATTTACTCCATTGCAGCCATTATTGTGAGCCGTCCCCCCATTACCAGCCTCCTGTGATCTCTATGTGCGACATCTTAGTGTAGCCAGTTTGTCCGGGTTTTGTTTCCAGAAACTATGCCACCTCTCACCTACTTCCTCATAAGTTAACTCAAGTCAAGCCATGTTAACTCAAGCTGATTAAAGTTTGGATTCCATCTCATCTACAAGAATAACAAGTATATCAAGTTATGGTGCAAGCTACTTCCCTGTCTTGCAGTAGACACACCAGTCTTTCCCCATGGGCGAGCAAGCTTTAAACCCTTCTCAATTGTGATCTGCATGTATCTAATTGTAAGTATTATTTGTATATCTGTTTATAGCTGTCAGGGATAATAGAGCTAATGGGAGAAATGCTTTGTACTAATAAATCCCCACAATCAATATTCAAGTCAATGTTGATGGTTGGCAATAACTGTGTGTGAGAACCAGTCAGGCTAAAGTTTCAGGTACCTTTGGTTCCGTCTCCCTTTACCTTACCTTAATAAAAGGAACAAGTTTTACATATTTTAGAAAGTCTGTCTTAAGTAGTCTTCTGTCTTTGGTCTCAGGTGATTAAATAGCAAATCCATACCATATGCTCCATAAAATAGCCTACTTTGAATCACATTGAGGGTCTAGGGCTCAGGATCGTTATGATTGATATACAGTATGTAATCTTCTCTTTCAGAAATGATGTGGACTTGGACAGACTGTCTGTGTGTTACTCTCCTGCTTCTCCTCCAAAGAGCAGGCTCTGGTAGAGTGACCTCACATGTTCTTTGAGTGTGTGTGTGTTTGTGTATGAACGATGTGAGGATTTCCATGAACGATGGGTACAATTTGCACTTTCGGTACTAGGCTATTCCATTGACAACCAAGCTAAATCAAGCGAACCTTAAGTATTAGAGCCAGGTTTGGTGTCTATCTTTAGTGTGGTCTGTTAAAGTCTGAATGGGACTAACAGTTGATGATGTGCACAGTCATTTTATTTTTATTTCCAGAGAAGTTTGAGGTTCTTGGTCCGACTCGTGCCATTGTTGCTGTGGCTGGTGATGACATCATTCTGCCCTGTTACATCAAACTCAACATCAGCGCTGAGGACATGAGAGTTGACTGGTTCAGAGTCAACCTCCCAGACCCTCAGTCAAACATTCGAGTCCATCTCTACCAAGACGGCAGAGACAAATACCATGATCAGATCCGCTCCTACGAAGGAAGGACATCATTATTTAAAGAGGAACTGAAGAAGGGCAACACCTCTTTGAAACTGACCAGGGTACAAGGCACTGATGATGGACAGTACAAATGTCTTGTTCAGTCTAAGACCCATTATGATGATGCCACTATTCAAGTCCACATAAGAGGTACATTTCTTTCCCCATATATACAACAACCCACAGCGAAGTGTTTCCAATCTCAGCAGTACTTCATCTCCAGTCTCCCTTTGTGTCTGTAGCTATAGGATCCAAGCCAGAGCTTTCCATTGAGGGACAGAAAGAAGGAGGGATGTGTCTGCTGTGTGTATCTAAAGGCTGGTTCCCTGAGCCTGAGTTGGAGTGGCTGGACAGTAAAGGGGTCACTCTGTCTGCTGGACCTTCAGAGACAGACAGGGACTATAAGGGGTTCTACATAGTCAAACTAAAGACCATTGTAAAGGAGACTGACACCAACCACTTTACCTGCAGACTCAGACAGAGGCAACTCAGTGAGCAGATCAACATGGAGACAGAGTTTCACATCTCTAGTGAGTTGCACAACATCATATTATTGTTTAGCTGATATGAAACACTTTTAATGTTTTATATGCTTTTGTATTACAAAGGCTGAGTAATAATGAAACATAAATAGGACAATTGGATACAAGTTTGTCAACATTTTAAGAACACTAAAGTATTCTAATGTCAAAATGAAATGTTGGTTTTGTAGATCCAGCTGTATGCCTCCACCCCAAATGAATGGAAAACCAGGAAATGAGATGGCTCTCAAATGTTCCATTCATTTGGCATTGAGGCATATAGCTTGATCAACACACCTGATGTCATGGGATGTGGTTTCATTTTGACATTAGTCTGCATTTGAGGTCTGTAAAAGCTTGACAAATCATTCTTTATGAGTGAAATGTCCCTTCAATTGTATTATTTGGTAGCAGTGGTAAGCATGTCACTGATCTCAGTTGATTTGTGTCTTGCAGGTGAGCTGATCCTTGTTCACACAGACACATGGAGAGTGGCCTTTGCAGTGATTGTCTCTCTGAGCATTGTCCTTGTGGTCATATTAGCTTTCACCATCTGGGGCTGGAATCGTTTGTCCAATGACTACGGTAATAGAAAACGAATTAAAGAGTTTATTTGACTGAATGTAAATGTTTTACAGTGCAGTTTCCAGAGTGGCATACACAAGGAGTTGGGTACTAGAACCGAAAGCTTGCTAGTTCGATTCCCTGAGCCGACAAGGTGAAACAAATCAGTTGAGCTACCCTTGAGCAAGGCACTTAACCCTAATTGCTCCAGGGTCGTCATCAATCTGATCCCTGGCCATGACCCCACTCTCCGAGAGTATCTCAGGGAGAGTTGGGATATGCAAAAAACACATTTCCATTTCACGCCTCACACTCGTACAGGTTAACCACTTGTACATGCAGTGAAACAGGACAAATATAAGAACCCCCCTATTTGACCTTTAGAATTAAAAAGCTGTGATGAGGTGTGAATGAAGGAGTCAGGCGCAGGAGGTAAAATACCGAAGTCCAGAGTTTATTACGTTTACATAAATCAAACGCTCCCAGCGTGAAAACGTAACTATAACAAGGGAAAACATTCCACCTTAGCAAGTACAAACAGAAGAGTAGCTCAATCGAGCTACTCGCTCTCACAATAAACAATCACTCACAAAGACAATGGGAACAGAGGGAACACTTACAGTGGGGGAAAAAAGTATTTAGTCAGCCACCAATTGTGCAAGTTCTCCCACTTAAAAAGACGAGAGGCCTGTAATTTTCATCATAGGTACACGTCAACTATGACAGACAAATTGAGGAAAAGAAATCCAGAAAATCACATTTTAGGATTTTTAATGAATTTATTTGCAAATTATGGTGGAAAATAAGTATTGTCACCTACAAACAAGCAAGATTTCTGGCTCTCACAGACCTGTAACTTCTTTAAGAGGCTCCTCTGTCCTCCACTCGTTACCTGTATTAATGGCACCTGTTTGAACTTGTTATCAGTATAAATGACACCTGTCCACAACCTCAAACAGTCACACTCCAAAATGGCCAAGACCAAAGAGCTGTCAAAGGACACCAGAAACAAAATTGTAGACCTGCACCAGGCTGGGAAGACTGAATCTGCAATAGGTAAGCAGCTTGGTTTGAAGAAATCAACTGTGGGAGCAATTATTAGGAAATGGAAGACATACAAGACCACTGATAATCTCCCTCGATCTGGGGCTCCACGCAAGATCTCACCCCGTGGGGTCAAAATGATCACAAGAGCGGTGAGCAAAAATCCCAGAACCACACGGGGGGACCTAGTGAATGACCTGCAAAGAGCTGGGACCAAAGTAACAAAGCCTACCATTAGTAACACACTACGCCGCCAGGGACTCAAATCCTGCAGTGCCAGACGTGTCCCCCTGCTTAAGCCAGTACATGTCCAGGCCCGTCTGAAGTTTGCTAGAGTGCATTTGGATGATCCAGAAGAGGATTGGGAGAATGTCAGATGAAACCAAAATAGAACTTTTTGGTAAAAACTCAACTCGTCGTGTTTGGAGGACAAAGAATGCTGAGTTGCATCCAAAGAACACCATACCTACTGTGAAGCATGGGGGTGGAAACATCATGCTTTGGGGCTGTTTTTCTGCAAAGGTACCAGGACGACTGATCCGTGTAAAGGAAAGAATGAATGGGGCCATGTATCATGAGATTTTGAGTGAAAACCTCCTTCCATCAGCAAGGGCATTGAAGATGAAACGTGGCTGGGTCTTTCAGCATGACAATGATCCCAAACACACCGCCCGGGCAACGAAGGAGTGGCTTCGTAAGAAGCATTTCAAGGTCCTGGAGTGGCCTAGCCAGTCTCCAGATCTCAACCCCATAGAAAATCTTTGGAGTTGAAAGTCCGTGTTGCCCAGCGACAGCCCCAAAACATCACTGCTCTTGAAGAGATCTGCATGGAGGAATGGGCCAAAATACCAGCAACAGTGTGTGAAAACCTTGTGAAGACTTACAGAAAACGTTTGACCTGTGTCATTGCCAACAAAGGGTATATAACAAAGTATTGAGAAACTTTTGTTATTGACCAAATACTTATTTTCCACCATAATTTCCAAATAAATTCATAAAAAAATCCTACAGTGTGATTTTCTGGAATTTTTTTCTCTCAATTTGTCTGTCATAGTTGACGTGTACCTATGATGAAAATTACAGGCCTCTCTCATCTTTTTAAGTGGGAGAACTTGCACAATTGGTGGCTGACTAAATACTTTTTTCCCCCACTGTATACACATACTAATTAGGGGAATGAGCACCAGGTGTGTGTGATTGACAAGACAAGACATGACAAGTGGAGTGATGAGAATGGGATCGGCAGTAGTTAGTAAGCCGGTGACGATGAATGCCAAACCTGCCCGAACAAGGAGGGGAGTCAGCCTCCGCGGAAGTCGTGACAAAAGCAGACATTGGTCAGATACTGTACAGGTGTATTTAAGGATTTGTATTTAAAAAAAAAAAAATGTATAGGGCAAACCCATTTTTATTTGAAACAACTTTCTCCACAAAAATGCTAGATTATTTAATATAAGGTTTCTTTAAATCTCAGTGTGTGGTTTCTGAATCACATCAGTGTAATTGGCTCCTTCATGGAAAGGACTTTGTCAAAAAACGTATTGAGTAGGTCTTTTTGTGGAACTTTCCTCTAACTGTTATCTATTTTTATGTCTGCAGATGTATCCAAAACTAAACACAGTCAAGCGCTAGCTAAGTAATGTCTTATGTCAAACATGCAGTTCTCCTCCATAAATGGAACTTTGTCGGAGAAAACACTGAGGTTCTTGTGTTCATTAAGGATGTTCTCTCTAATGTCTGTTTCTTTTTTATGTCTGCAGAGCAAGTTAAAGATGAACACAGCCTTGAGTTGAGTAAGTGTCCAACAGTCCTATGCACGTGTTAAACTCATTCCACAGAGGGCTTAGTGTCTGCAGGTTTTCACTCCTCCCTTGTACTTGATTGATGAATTAAGGTAATTGATTAGTAAGAAGCTCCCCTCACCTGGTTGTCTAGGTCCTTAATTGAAAGGCGAACTAAAAACCAGCAGACACTAGTCCCTCCATGGAATGAGTTTAACACTCCTGGTCCTATGCATCAGTGTGTCATATGTTCAGATTTTAATAATTGTCTTCTCCATGGATGTGAGATGTGTTCATTAAGGATACTCACGCTAACTGTTCTCTTTATGTCTGCAGAAAAAGTTCAAGATGACAAGGATTGTAGGCTGAGTAAGTTGTGTCCAACACTCCTTTGCATCAATGTGTCATTTAAAAAAAAACTCCCAATTATATTGGGATACCAAACAACAATTGGAGACAAACAATTCCCAACACATGAATATGTTACAGAAATGGATGCTAGTACAACAGCTAGTTTCATGGATTTAAAATCCTTACATCTTTGACATTGTTTTTTATCACATTGTTTTCACGGTCCGCATCCCCCTGTCAACAATTAATTTAATTATTCACCTTTAAGAATGCTTTAATTGACTTTAATTATTCTGTTTGTCTGTAGAGATACTCACTGATCAGCTGGGTAAGTAGGAGATATACATGATGCATTACTAGACCATAAGGTCAATATACAATACATATTCTCAGGAACCCTGTTCCTACAGAGCTAACTTCCTATAGGTTTTTCGATCCAACCTTAGTTGTAACTGACCTCATTCAACTTATCAACCAGCTAATTATTAGAATCAGGTGCACTAGATTAGGGTTGGAGTGAAAACCTACATGATGGTAGCCCTCCAGGGACAGGGTTGGAGAGCCCTTTTCTAAGGACTTACAATATGCATTGTGCAAATAGCACAAAGATTAGTCATAATTATGTAGTAAAATATAACTGTATTGGAATTAATTTGTACTCACTGCGATGGCAATGTTCAGAACAATAATTATATTTAGTTGTATTAAAACATGTTCACACTTTAATGAACTGGAATTATAATTGGTTTTATTTGTTGAATTTACCCACAGATTTTGTAAACATGAAGGGGTGTCCAGGTAAATTAATAACACTGAATTGTATTTCAAATGTATTTGATGTCTTCATATCATATTTTTGTTGTTTGTAGGTATACTACAGTATATTATGGTAGAGTGATGTATTTTTACACCATGTCACTTTGGATATGTATCTGGTACTGAACTTGAATTAAAAAAATATCCCTCACCTTATCATTAAAGTTTGGAGATTAAGAGAGGGAGATTTGTCATCATGTTACCATAGTTTCCCCAAATCTGACAAGCTCTTTCTCTATATTCTAGAACTTGAAACCATCAGAAGACATGCAGGTCAGTGTCACGCCCTGACTCTGGGGACTCTTATTTGTTGAGCCAGGGTGTGATTTTCTATGTTTGTGATCTATGTTTTCTAGATCTATGTTGGCCGGTGTGGTTCCCAATCAGAGGCAGCTGTCGCTCGTTGTCTCTGATTGGGGACAATACTTAGGCAGCCTATTGGCACTAGTGGGTTGTGGGATATTGTTCCGTATAAGGTATGTTGTTTGTGTCTACCTTGGACTTCACGTTTCGTTTATTGTTTTGTTGTTGTGTTTATTTGGTATAATAAACATGTATGCATATCACGCTGCGCCTTGGACTGACCCGTTCATCAACGAACGTGACAGTCAGTGTCATGTACTCTCCAGTCCTCCCACCTAGAGTTTCACATGAATATTAATATCTTCACATACCGGGATTACTTGAAATAAACATGATGACGCATTCATATCTACAGTATACTTATGTTATTATCAATAACAACCTATAGGCTACATATGTCTACAGTAATGTACTGTACATTAAGTCCTGCAGTAAAATATTGTCCCCCATATTGATGTTATTTTCTTCTCATTTTTATAGACTATTTTTCACTTCACAGTGGATGTGACTCTAGACCCTGATACAGCACATCACTATACATGTCCTAGAGTAATGGACTGAGCAGTAAAATGCCGTCCCCCATATTGATATATTTATTTAATTTTTCTAATAAAGTGTGTTTCTCTCCACAGTGGATGTGACTTTAGACCCTGATACAGCACATCCCCAACTCATCCTGTCTGAAGACAGGAAACAAGTGAGATATGGAAACGGAAATCAGAAGTCCCCTGGCAACCCAAAGAGGTTTGATGAAGTTCACTATGTCCTGGGA